ATATATATATATATATATATATATATATTATAATATATAATATATGTATATAATATATATATATATATATATATATATATATTAATATATATAATATATTATATTATAATATGTATATATATATATATATATATATATGTATATATATATATATATATTATATATATATATATATATATAATATATATTATATATTATATATATATATATATATATATAATATATATATATATATATATATATATATATATATATATATATATATATAATATATATTATATATATATATATATGTATATAATTATATATTATATATATATATATATATATATATATATATATATATATATATATATATATATATTATATATATATATATATATATATTATATATATATAATATATATATATATATATATATATATAATATATATATATATATATATATATAATATATATATATATATATATATATATATATATATATATATATATATATATATATATATATATATATATATTATATATAATTAATATATATATATATATATATATATATATATATATATATATATATATATATATATATATATATATATATATATATATATATATATATATATAATATATATATATATATATATATATATATATATATATATATATATTATATATATTATATATATATATATATATATATATATATATATATATATATATATATATATATATATATATATATATATATATTATATATATATATATATAATATATATATATATATATATATATATATATATATATATATATATATATATATATATATATATATATATATATATATATATATATATATATATATATATATATATATATATATATATATATATATATATATATGTATATATATATATAATATATATATGTATATATTTATATATATATATATATATATATATATATATATATATATATATATATATATATATATATATATATATATATGTATAATATATATTTATGCATTTATATATATATATATATATATATTATATATATATATATATTATATATATATATATATATGTGTATATATATATGTATATTTATATATATATATATGTATATATATTGATTTATATGCATGTTTGTGTTTGTTTGTAGGATGAACAAGAAAAAGATGAAGATCATGTTCAACAGTTCAGTTCAATCTGATACGTGTACAAGGCAAAGCGCAAGAGGTAATAGACATGTGTATATATATATATCGGGTAACTCGTACAGACAAACACATCTAGCGAAGAGGAAATGAAGCGACGCATCAGTCTAAGCTGGTGCCCCTTTGGCATACACAGTATCATACCAAGAGGCTCCTTGCCATTATGTTTAAAAAGAAAAGTCTTTAACAATGCTTCCTCCCAGTTATGGCCTGTGGATCAGAAACATGGACTACAACCAAATTACTGGAGAGGAAACTAATAAGTGCCCAGAGGGGGATAGAAAAATCAATGCTGGGAATTAGCCCAAGAGATCAGATGAGGTACGACGTGGATCAGGGAACAGACAAAAGTGGAAGATATACTTGGGAGCATAAAAAAAAAGAACTGAAAATGAGCATGTCACATATGCCGGCGACCAGATGACAGATGGATAAAGAAAGCAACAGACTTAGCTATAGACAACCAGACCAATGACAAGATGGCATGATGAAATAACGAAATTTAGGGGCCAAGACTGGAAACAAAAAACGCAAGACAGAAAAAGTTGGAAAAGATTGGAGAGGCCAATGTCTTGCAGTGGATAGATTCCATAGGCCTCAAGTACTCCTGGAAATTAACTGAAAGTTTGGTTATTTCAAAATTTCATTGCTTTTGATGTTATTCAAATCATAATTTTTGTGTTAGTGTAAATAGTTAGAAAAAAAATTGTGTAAATATATTTAAGAGCTTCTAGAGACTGTTGTCCTTTGGAAATGTAGTATTAGTCAACTACTGATTGCTAAATTATTCTTACAGTTTTGATGGCAGGGTTGTTGCAAAGCTGCCCTTCATCCCAATCTCCTGGCTCCAAGGCTTGAGCCACCGTAACCTGATGGGTGATGACTACACAGACTGCTCTTTCATCTTCCTATACATTCTGTGTACAATGAGCATCAGACAGGTTAGTAGACAAATTTTCCTAATATATTTTGAACTTATTTTAAAAAGGCATGGATTTAAAGTTCAAGAGTGTAAATGGACTAAGTGGAATATTTGTTGGCCTGTGTATAGAATATTTTTATTATCTGTTATATTTGTTTTCAAATTAAAATGCATTCCTTTTTTCAGAACATCCAAAAGTTACTGGGCTTTGCACCTTCAAGGGCAGCAAACAAACACAGCACCAATCTATTTGGTCCACAGCCTCAACAGTTTAGTGCATATAAATAAATGGACAAACTCTGCACCTCAGCTGTTTCTCTTTCTCTTCATTTGTAAATAAATGCACCATTTTAATTCTATTTCAGTTTGAAGTCCATTGTTAATATTCTGTCTGAAATGCTCTGTACATTTTAAAAAGTTAGAGAAGTGCAATGTTTAAAGTCATCATTTTTGTACAGTTGCAGATATGTTTTAATACAACTTGGGAAATTTATGCAGAGGTTCCATACTAGAAGATTCACATTTACAAATTCTAACTTATTAATATCAGAATATCAATGTGCCTGAATAAAGTATAGTTAATGTTCTTATTCGAGTTAAGATCAGTCATTTGGTCAACATACTCAATTCAGGAGCTCTTTTGATATAGCAAAGATGTTATATCATTACACAATTATGTCTTTTAATATAACTAAAATGTTATATTATTGATAGACCCCTTTTATTTAATCCTCTTGCTAAAGACCTTGGCCCTGTTTGGTAACACTTGAATGCCCCAACTCTCTTACTCTTTAGTCTTAACAATTAATCATGAGGTGGTTAATGAATAGTAGGAAAACTGTAGATAGAAAATTTGGTTCCTATACGTCAGGTTTTAACAGTAATGATAGATAATCATTGAATAATCATAAAAGAGACCATCTCCCCAACCTTGTTTTCCATTGTTTAAGAAAATAAAAGTTTTATGAGTATTTCCTTTTTCTTCATTAAGAAAATATATATCCTTCAACAGTGATTACTTTGTAATTTCCTGTTGTAAAATATACTTGCATATATTATATTTTTGCATAACAGTAAGTATTTGCGTGATTTTAAATATAACAAGGCAACTGGATGTCATATTTGACTGATTATGCAAAGAAAAAGAACAAATAGAAACAAATGTAGACCACTGCTTACTACCAAGTTAAAATGCCTGTCAGTTTTGGAAGTGGCCACAAATGTAAAACTTTTTCCTATAAGATTTAGATTCCCAGATTGGTGGGTCAGGGAAGATATATTTGACAATTAGCCAAAATAGCAATTACATCTTACAAATTTTCTTTACTTTTTCATGGTGTAAAGTGGTATGGCGCATAATTCTAAGTGAAGCTTTTCTTCCTTGATATAGGGAGTTATAAAAAAAAAATTAACTTTTTATGGGGGCACAAAATAGAATTTTCATGAAGACTATACAAGAACTTGGTTATTTACATTTTCCCTCGGAGTTGATGTAACATATATAGCTGGGAGGGGGAGCTTTGACAGTATCACCATAAATCCAGTTGTATTAGTGGGGGGCCAAGGAGACGAGGACAGAGGCCCAAGGTTTGGGATCACCCCTTATCTTGGACCTCAGCCCTCATCTCAACTAATTTTGCATGGTCTTTTCTTCTCCATCTATCTTTTTTCTTTTCTTCATCCCCTTCTTCTGTCCACATCCTAAAGTGTGTGAGTCATGCTCAAAAAAAAATGGCTGGCTTTGTGTCAGTCTTGAAATGGCCTTCATACTCTGTTTGCTATTTCCTCTTTACCATTTTCATTACCATACTAACCTACAGTGCTCTATAGCCTTCATCTAACATATTTTGTTCTAATTGTTAATTCCTTTTTTCCTTTTTTCCACAATACTTTGCTATAATGTAGTATGATCATCCTTACCAGGGGGCTTTGACCCAAAGCCTTACCCTATTGCTCTTATTTTGTATGTGCTGTTAATGACCATAGATGTTGACAGGGCAGGAAATTTTCAATGAATAATAAATACCATAAAATTTATTTTAAAGATTTCTTTCTTAATATTTTGTATTAAGATATGGCGTATTTTCATAAGACTTGCCCCATCTATCAATCCAAATATGAGGCAGTAGTCCTTTAATAAGTGGTTTCATCTCCCCGGGTGATTGCCCTGTCTGCAATTAGGATTGGTCGGTCTCTGCAAACGACCCGCTTGCCTACCTCGTTGGCTATGATGTTGTATCAATACAGGACAACACTATTCCATCCAGAGGCCACCAAAACTCATACACTAGTATTGCCAAGATTACGTTCTGTAGGCATGACCTCCATGAAGTTTATATTGGCTGAGAGTCCTGTCCTTTTAGTCCATAACGACCCATTCCCAGAAATGCTGCCGCATTGGCCACCCTGCCAAGCACTGTCGCTCCACAACCCACTGCTCTCTATGTAACCAACATGGCCATGATTGTTCAAACTGCCCTGCTAGGAGGGGGTAGTAGTAGTAGCAGTGTTCAGAGTCGTGATCAAAGGAGAGCCAGGGGTCAGGGAAATAAAAAGTTAGTCAGTGGGGCTAGATAAAACAAGAATACCGTGCCCATGGCTCCCTGAGGCCGTTCAGGACTTCTCAAAGCCAACCAATTATCCTTTCAACACGGTTCTCACATCCTAGGAAGTGGACAGAAGGGAAGGAAAATGAGAAGACCGTGCATTCCTTCAAGTTTTGCCTGTTTCCTATGAATTTTAAACTCCACATAATTCAACTCTGAATGTGATGATGCGAAGATGAAGTTCTAAATCTTGGGTTCATTCTCACAATTAAAAATTTGATGAGCCCACACTGATTTGAATGAATCCTAGTTTGCAAGTATGTGCCTAGTAGAGGTCATAATGATGATGGTTATGGATTTTGACCTCCCGTAATCTCTTGCCCATTGTTGTCGTGGGGTCTTAGGAAACAGAGACTGAGGCCCAGTGTGGCGGATCGCCCCTTCCTTGTACCATAGCCCTCGGCTCAACTAATTTTGCAAGGTGTTTTCTTTTCCTTTCTTTTTCCTCATTTTCCCAAGCCCCCTTCAAGGCGTGAGAGCTGTGCTGAAAGGATGAAAAGCTGACTTTGTGCTAGTCAAGAATGGCTGCTGGGAGACATGGGCATAGTATTCCCTTGGTTAATTGTCTTTTATCTGGATCATAGTGATAGACCCAAGTTTCATATCCTGGTTTTCATGGCACATACTTAAAGGAGTCTTGGAACAATAGACTGCTTCTGGAAAAGTGTGAGTAGCCTGGAGACCAATCAAGCAGACAACTTATGCATTTGCAGATGGTCATGAACAACTTTGTCCATAGACCCAACACTAGTTGACGAACATAGTAATAAGGTAATCCTCCAAAATGGCAGTCTCCGCTTGATGGATAGTGTCCTCATCAATGGCAGACTGGGGTCGCCCTAGGTTAGGAGCCGTTTCCACAGATCCGAACACATCTGAACTAACGATGCCATATCAAAACTTTCCTTTATTGGCAATCTTTCTGGTCAGGTTTCAACAGCAATAAACTGCAAATCATTAACCCTTCCATCTCTCCTTCCCCCCAATCCCTTGTCTGCTGTTGCCGTGGGGGGGGGGGAGCTTAGGAGACGGAGACTGAGACCCAATGCAGGGATCTCCCCTGGCTAGGGCCTCAGCCTTCGACTCAACTAATTTTGCATGGTCTTTTCCCCCTCCTGCTTTTTGTTTCCGTCCCTTCTCCAACCCCTTCTATTATCTACTTCCTAAGGTGTAAGAGCCGTGCTGAGAGGATGAAAGGTTGACCTTGTGCCAGTTCTGAACGGCCTGCGGGAACTATGGGCATGGTACTCCCGATTTAATTGTCTAGCCCTTACCCTCAAGTGCATGAGGGTGGACCGTTTATGCCGTTTTATATAATCAAGGTTCCCCATGACCAGTAATGAAGATGTAGTCCCCTTATTAGGGGCAATGAGGCTTGCCCCTTTATCCTACTTCGTATGTACCACTTCATAATTCCCCACGCTGGTGCTTTGATAGAGCTGACTGGCGTACTTTCACTTCACTCTCTACTATACCTATCCCTCCACCCCCTTATCGTCCATTTCAGATATGCTACAATGTTTTACAACCACGATCCTAAGAGCTGCCTATACAGCCATTCCTCGAACTTCAAGACCTTATACCTCTAAATGTGTTCAATGGGGGGAATTCTGATTGCACCAAAGCGCTTCGCTTAAAACGAGCAGCCTGGAACAGCTATCGCTACAAACGGGGACCCCTCACCAGCTACCAGCCCTTATCTCCATTAAAAGAACATCTGCCCATCTTCCCAGTACATTCAGAAACAGTAAAAGAAATAGCTGGCAAAATTATGTTTCCTCAATTACATATACATCAATTTCAGCTGTTTGGCGACAGATCCATAAATTATCAGGCAAACATCCCCCCCCCCCATCCTGCACCCGTCCTCCATATTCGAGATACTCTCATCTCAGCCTGTCGAAGTGGCTAATGAACTGGGCAATTATTTCAGCCAGGTCAGTAGTGGCTCTCACCTTTCCCCACATTTTTCTTCCATTAAAGCCATCAAGGTACGCATCCCTATTACCTTCACCCTATCCTCTGATGAGTCCTATAATGCTCCTTTTTCTTATGAACTCAACGCTGCATTATAATCGTACGGCAACACTCATGAAGGCCCTGACGGTATTCACTGTCGTATGCTCCGACACCTCCCATCTTGCTCTCTATCCTTCCTTTTAACTATTTTCAACCACATATGGATGTCGGGAAATTTTCCTTCTCTTTGGCGAGAACCTCTTATCCTCTTTCTTAAAACCCAGTACATCAGGGTACCTGATTTACTGGGTTACCGCCCCATCGCTCTAACTAGTTGCTTGTGCAAACTATTAGAACGAATGGATAACTTAAGTTTAATGTGGTATCTTGAATCTCTCCTTCCGTTTGGTTTCCGCCGTGCCCGAAGTACAACACACCCCCTTGCCCATTTCGAGACATATATTACATCGGCATTTGCACGCCATGAATCCGTATTAGCCATATTCTTTGACCTAGAAAAAGCATATCATACCACACGGCGGTACCATATTCTCCAACTATTGTACTCCCTAGATATACGTGGAAACACGGGTGTCTTCATAAAATCTTTCCTTTCCAAATCTACTTTCCAGGTCAAAATTGCCTCTTCCACGTCATCATCCTTTCCTCAGTTCGAAGGCGTCCCACAAGGAAGTGTGCTTAGTACCACTTTATTCCTTCTTGCTGTAAATACTCCAATACCGTTCTTCTGGCAAATTCCTAGGCGTTGCATTTAACTCCAAATTGTCCTGGCAAGACCATATCTTATACATTAAAGAAAAAGCTTAATGCCGCCTCCGAATCTTACAAACTCTTTCCCACATATTCTGGAGCTCAGATCGCATAACTCTCCTCCTTGATCCTCTCCACTCTAGGTTATGGATGCCATATCTACTCCTCTGCCTCAACCTCCATTCTTGCTCACCTTGATATAATCCACCACAGCTTAGCCCTAGGCGCCTTCCGCTCCTCTCCAGTAGAGAGCCTGTATACTGAGTCCGGCATGCTATCTCTCGACGTCGAGCACTTCTCTCCCTTCGGTGCTATACTCGATACCACTAACTTTCCCTTACCAAACTAACTGTCCCACAATCCCTGCTCCTACCTTTACCTCTTCTCCACGTTTACCTACTCTTTTCTCCGTACGCATGGATACCCTCCTCTCCCAGAACTGGTTGTTCTTCCTGTCCACACGCCATAAATCTGTCTGATTTTGTTGGGTGCCCAGCCATGTTGGAATCCCTGGCAATGAACAGGCAGATACTCTAACACGCTACACTGCTATGTCCACATCACACCAACCACGCTTCTCATATGTTCCAGCCACGGATTATTACCCCTACTTTAAAACCTTCCTGTATAGCCAA